ATAATGCGCATGTAGCAATGGCATGAGAGCATGACAATCAAACCAATTTTGGAGTAGTCATATTGTGTACATCCTAGAATATCAACTACCAGTTGTACCAGCAACCTCAACCTTCAAGACTCCTGACTCTTGTAAAAAACTACGTACTAGTTAACATGTAGCTTTACGCTTATTGTCTTTGATCACCTTCATCAATTCTTCACAATATATATGATTTGCCCTTATCATACTAGTTGCTTCATTTCTATGGTGAAGAAACTATGAATTCAACCTATGATATGTTGCTCTGACAAAGGCAGTGATGAGCAAAGCTCTTGATCTTTCAGAGAGCGTCATTAATGCATTCTGTTAGGTTGGTCGTCATATGGTCGTACCGTCTACCTTCGTCATATGATTGCGACCATTTTTATTTTGGGATGTAGTCTAACCAAGTTGATGCCCTCAGATTCTTTTAACGCATCACACCAAACATTTACTCAAAACATGGTCACATCAACTCATATCCTACAGCAAGTACATCATTATCTTGTTAGAGTACAATATTAAATGAGTAAAGACATATTAAATTCATTACTCATTAGTGTCTTTTTCTTCAATATGAAAGTTCCTATAACTAGATCGACAATTTATGACATGCAGTTTTTTCTTTTGTGAGCAAAGATATTTTATTTCCGTTATTTTTAGAAAAGTCAATAAATTTGGTGGATACGTAAAAAATAATGTTTCTTTTTTGTCACTTTGACATATATAAAAAAATTATGAAATTTCATTTCTTGCTGCATTTTCCAATTAACATATATCCAAATAGACTATTTTGAAGAAGTTATTTCAGTATTTTTTTATTTATCAATTGCATTGCTTTCTTTAATTTTTGACAATTTCTTAATAAAAAGGTTGAGGGTGCTCTGCGTAAATAGTATAAACATATAATAAATTAAAAAACAATAAAGGTTTGTTTACCTAACTTTAAACCCGGTCTCAAATGTAGTGAGACTAAAAAAATTATCATCCCATCGCGTTTCAGGTATCCCAAACTTATATTAACTCTAACTCGAAACATAACCCCTTATCATTTAAATTGATCTCTTTGTCCTTTAGTGTTATATATATATTATTTATATGGAGGAAAATTATATAATTTAACATTTATTATATAAATTGAGTTCGAGATTGAGTATCATCTATACCAAACACAACCTCGAACCAATTATTTGGAATCACATAAAACGTGAACTTAATCAAAACATGTTTCCCCATTAAATTTAGGTTAAGATCGCATAATTATTCCAGAGTTCAAATTAGATTTCAATCTCTATCTCACATCATCAACCTCACACGGGAACATTTATTGGTTAACACCAGTTTTCACTCTAAATAACCAATTTTAAAGTATGATTTTGTTTACTTGATGCATCTATTGCATATTTGAAGCACATCCGCAGCATATTATTTGGTGCATCTGTTGCTTATTTTCTGATAAATATTATATAAAATAGTTATCACCCATCCAGGGTTAAGGAAGAAATATGAGCATTAATATTTTAGAATCATTGTTAAGCACACCTTAGTTTAAGGAAATAAAAAATCGATGTGACAAAATTATCTACAATCCATTTAAATTAATAAAAGTAAATTCATCCGTCAGAGATAATGGATTTAAATATATAAAATTTTATCAATAACTTTATTAATTAATGGATTTTAAATCAACTGAGGTAGAGCTTGAAGAAGAAGAATACCCACATCTAAATTTCACACAGTTATCATCTCCAAAAGTGGCAAATGTATGAAGACTGAATGACACAATTTAATTGAAATTTGTTTTTTTAATTTTATTATAGCCATGCTTACATACATTTATAAATGGAAACTTATTATGTTCAAGCAAGTGTCTTTGTATTTCATACTAATATATGTCCTTATGTAAAAAATGTAGGTGATGAAAATATGGCTGAGGCAGCAACAAGTGGGGATAAGCTTTGGTTTGGGATGCAAAGAGAGAGAGTTTGTGAGAAAAAGTGACAACCTTGGCTTTTCTTGCCTAGCCTATAAAAAAATCCATTTTTTATTAATCTATGATGACTTGCATTGTATTAGTATACAAATATGTATACAAGATTTATACATCCCAATATCCCATTATCCATTATTATATTTATATTTATTTTTTGAAAAAGTCAATCAATCATAAATAAATGATAAATGTTAAAACTCTAAATTTATATGTTTTGTAGACTAAATTGTGAACTTATGTCATTTATTTATATTTTGCATTTGTTAAGTGATACTTTTGTATTGATATATGTTTTGAACTTTAGACTTTGATTTTGTTAAAGACTTACGGTTGTTTTTTGTTGTTGTGTGAATTTGGAGTAGATTATGAATATGAATTATAAATTTGAATTTCTACATATTTAAAAAAGTTCTATTATAGGTTTACATATATATAAATATAAGCATGTATGTCTGGTTTAACCGACATGCGGTTTAATTACTGTATCATCGGTTGAACCACTATACCATTATACCACTATATCAGTACCCCGACCGGTTTGATAATCGGTACGATTTTAATAACATTGATGAAAAGGAATACCTTACCTCAGATTCTATTGACATGTCAGATGCTAATGAGAGTGAATTACTCAACATATAAGTTTCTAAACTCCCTTACAACTGTAACATCCCAAATTTTAATCTTTAAAAATATAGTATCAGTCCTGGAAGCCTCGCTTGATCGAGAGATTCTCACCTGAGCGAAAAAGGATCATCTGGGAGGGTGAAATCCTGGACTATACTGGAGGATTCTCGCCTGGGCGAGAAATGGCAATTTTGGGCTGTTGACACAGTGTAATCGATTACACTCTGCTGGTAATCGATTACACACTGATGGTAATCGATTACACACTGCTGGTAATCGATTACATCGTATTAAAAGCATCAGATATGTGCATCTGACACAGTGTAATCGATTACACAGTCCTGGTAATCGATTACACAGTCCTGGTAATCGATTACACAGTCCTGGTAATCGATTACACAGTCCTGGTAATCGATTACGCACTCCTGGTAATCGATTACACACTCCTGGTAATCGATTACACACTCATGGTAATCGATTACACACTCCTGGTAATCGATTACACACTCCTGGTAATCGATTACATCGTATTAAAAGCATCAGATATGCGCATTTTTCACGTTGTAATCGATTACACCATGTTGGTAATCGATTACAACCCGACGACACCTCTTTAAAACAGAAACCCAAACACATTTTAAGGTTAAGAACTTCGAAGAGAAGAGAGAAATGAGAGCTTTTCAAGAGCAAGGAGCCTTAGGACTCATCTTGGAGCTTGAGAAGAGGTAAACCTCTTGTTACTAACTCTTCTTCTTCCTCTCTAACTTGTTTTGGGTATGTTGGATTTATTTTCAAAACATGAGAAACCATGGAAACTCATCCTTTAGAGTTATGGTTCGTTTTATGTTGTTTTTTATCTTGTAAACTCTTGGTTTAGAGTTGTTATTTGATGAATGGAAAGTTTTATGGGTTATTCATGAAAACCCCCAAAAACCCCCCCAAAATGAGAATACGAGTATAAAGAGAAAGAGATGAAATGTTAGATGTGAATAATGAGTAGTGCTTTGATGTTATTATATGAGATGAACATGTATGCTTTGATATTTAGAAACTTGTATTGAAGTAGTTTTGGAAATATTGAAATATGAGATGTTATGCATGTTTTAGATGGTTGAATATTGATGATGAATATTTTGTATGATTAAATGATGCAAAATAAGTTGTTTATGTGATATTTGGAATAAATGACTAACATTGTTGTTATTGGTGGAAATGAGGAAAGATCCTAAGGTTGGAGGAAATCGCGGAGGAGACTTTTAAAGTTACTCGGAACCGATTCCCAAAACTCACTGAGGTAAGGGATAAGTGGCTCTAAATCATACTTACTAATATGAATGAGGTATGTGAAAGAGGTAATGGTTTAAAATGATACGTCTGTAATTTATGCATTATGTTGGAAAATGCGTGACTTTTCTGTTATAAATGAAAGTAACATTGTTGGGGGAGGCCCAATGAAAAGATGACTCAAATGAAAGTAACATTGTTGGGGGAGGCCCAATGAAAAGATGACTCCGATGAAAGTAACATTGTTGGGGGAGGCCCAATGAAAAGATGACTCCGATGAAAGTAACATTGTTGGGGGAGGCCCAATGAAAAGATGACTCCGATGAAAGTAACATTGTTGGGGGAGGCCCAATGAAAAGATGACTCCGGTGAAAGTAACATTGTTGGGGGAGGCCCAATGAAAAGATGACTCCGATGAAAGTAACATTGTTGGGGGAGGCCCAATGAAAAGATGACTCCGATGAAAGTAACATTGTTGGGAGAGGCCCAATGAAAAGATGACTCCGATGAAAGTAACATTGTTGGGGGAGGCCCAATGAAAAGATGACTCCGATGAAAGTAACATTGTTGGGGGAGGCCCAATGAAAAGATGACTCAATTGAAAGTAACATTGTTGGGGGAGGCCCAATGAAAAGATGACTCGGAGTAATGAAAGTCATATGCATGTTATAGGATATATAGTATGGGATATATATTCTATAAGGTGAATATGAAGGATGAGAACTAAATGTCAAAATGAAAGTCATATGCATGCTATAGGATATATAGTATGAGATATATATTCTATAGTGTGAATATGAATGACGAGAAATGACATGAATGTTGTATGCATGTTATAGGATATATAGTATGGGATGTATATTCTATATGGTGAATATGAGCGATAAAAAGGAAGATGTTGAGAAAGAAAGTAATATACATGCTATAGGATATATATTATGGGATATATATGTTATAGGATGGGTATGAAGAACGAGACAGATGATGTTTCGAACGAACGTAATATGCATACTATAGAATATATATTATGGGATATATATACTATAGGATGAATATGAGTAAAGTGGAAATTAAAGGAAGATGATTTGAATGTTTATAATTTCGTATGTGTGTTTATGAATTACATCAAAACTTGATTGTATTTGAATATGGATTATCATGTGATGTTAGTTTGAACTAATGACTTACTCCTTTTGTTTTGCGTGTTGTTTATGATAATCTCATTGTAGGTAAATGGAGGATTTTGAGGATGAAACTCAAATATGAAGTCTTTGTGTCTATTTACTTGAGTGTCTTTATTGCGATTCGACGTTGTAGTTGATTCGATAGCATTTTGGGATAAATGTAATCTGATTAGGATAATATGGTGACATGTAGTTATGGACGTTATAACCTTGGAAAAACCCGCAATTGGATGTATGTGGTAAATGTTATCTAAATGAATTATGTTTTTCCGCAACATAAATTTGTATGATAATATAATAGGGTAAAGGGTATTTTCAAAGAGTGATACTTGAGAGTTTTCAACGAAGGTGACGACTATATGTAAGAAAGGATTAAAATAAATGAAAAATTTTCAAGGGTAGAAAATCGGGTCGTTACAATATGGTATCAGAGCATAGTTAATTCTGCGACCTAGGGCATGGCCTTACTTGCTTCTTTGTAACATGTGTAAAAATTTGACTAGTTGAGATTGTGTGTATTGAATGTTTAAAGCATGTGGCTTTGGTATGATGACATGCGACTTGTTATGAGACTATGTGATTTCCTGACTTGAGTGAGTTAAAATTAGCTTATTGACTAGTGTAACAAGTGCGGTAGACTTCACTATGGAAGTACGTGCCCGGGAAAAGGGAATGGATGTTTCCACTGCAAGGAGTTTGGGCATATTAAAAGGTATTGTCCCAAGCTGGATCGGAGACCTAATGTCATGCATGCCGAGGAGGCAAGAGACCACAGTCAGATGGTTACCCCAAGTGGCGCAGGGACATCAGGTGTTGATGATCCGGCGAGAGGTAAACGCATGGTGACAGGTATTCCTTGTTTAGTGTTGTTGATTCGGGAGCGACACACTCCCTTATATATGATAAATGTGAAAACCGGCTGAAATTGTAAACTGAGTCATTACTTCCGACTTGGTTGCGTCGACCCCAATCTTTGTGCTGGTGGTGGTGTCGACGTTTATGTTCTAGTGTCCGATTGTGGTAAATGGTGTGATATTTACCGTAGATTCAGTCTGCTTGTCGTTATCCCAGTTAGATATAATTTTGGGGATGGACTAATTGTCAGCAAATCCTGTTGTGATTGAATAGTGCTGACAAGGTTGTGGCGGTTAGAGATCTGTGCGAGATCTCTGACCAGGCTAGTGGTTTGGTGCCAGTGTCGGCTAAGAGAGTCAGGACCCTCCTTCGAAAAAGGGATCGATATTCATTCAGTAAATGTCACAAGAGGGTATTTAAGAACTCGTTAGTATTTCGAGATGTTAAGATTTGAAAGAACTATTTATTTTGTCTTGGAAAGTGGACTTTCGTCTATGAATGATTGACTTTTATAATAAGTATACTGACAAGAAAAATGTTTAAGTCGGGGATACTTGTTTTCTCTTATGAGTTGTTAAAGGTTGATTCCCTTTGTTGGCCTTAGTGTGTATGCGCACGCTAAGTGGTGAAACTCATATTTCGAAAATGAAATAGATGTTGGATAAATTACCTAAAGGTCCTTGCGACTAATGTGTTTACATGGATGTTGACTAATCAGATGTATTATCATTTTGAGGTGACCTATGGTTGGTACCCCAAAATCGATTAAGTATGAAAAAGTTATTTTTGATTCTTGTGTATGAAGCTTCTGGTCTATGAAATTTATTTTTTTTGTTAAAGATGAGTACCCGCCGTAACAAATGTATATTGGCATTGAACACCAAGCTAGGTGCGGGGATGTTGAACCTCAAAAAAAAAAAAAAACTTATTTTGGATCGGGAGTGTCTCAGTGTACGGTTGGGGTAAATGGTAGAACCTTTACTATAGTGTTGATATGCGCGATGATGTCTGTAACGACCCGATTTTTACCCTTGAAAATTTTTCATTTATTTTAATCATTTCTTACATACAGTCGTCACCTTCATTGAAAACTCTCAAGTATCATTTTCGAAAATACTCTTTACCCTATTTTCTTATCATACAAATTTATGTTGCGGAAAAACATAATTCATTCAAATAGCATTTACCACATACAACCAGTTATGGGTCTCCCAAGGTTATAAAGCCCATAACTACACATATCCGTATTGATCTAAACGGATTTACAGTCATTCCATAATACTATTAAATCAACTACAACGTCACTTAGCAATACAGACAAGCGAGTAATTAAACACAAAAGCTTCCTAATTGAGCTTCATCCTCAAAGTCCTTCATTTACCTACAATGGGATTATCATAAACGACACACAAAACAAAAGGGAATAAGTCATTAGTTTAAAAACTAACATCACATGATAATCCACATTTCAAATACGATTAAACTTTAATATAAATTATAAACGCAATTACGTAAATGCAAACATTCATCTCTTCTTTCGTTCATTTCTACGTTATCCATATTCATCCTATAGAATACATATCCCATAATATATATTCTATAGCATGCATGTTATGTTCATTCGAAGCATCGTTCTTCTCATTATTCATATCCACACTATAGTATATATATATCCCAAACTATATATCCTATAGCATGTATATTACTTTTATCCTTAACGTCTTCATTTCCAACATTCATATTCACCCTATAGTATATATATCCCATAATATATATCCTATAGCATGCATATGACTTTCGCTCTTAACGTCCTTGTTTCTCATATGTCGTATTCATCATTAATCGTATTCACCGAGTTCTTTCACACTATAATCTCCTACCACCTCGGGTAGATCAAATTACATCTCCATACCACATCGGGCAGGTCTAGTTCATCATCCATACCACATCGGGCAGGTCTAGTTCATCATCCATACCACATCGGGCAGGTCTAGTTCATCATCCATACCACATCGGGTAGGTCTACTGTTATATTCCATACCACATCGGGTAGGTCTAGTGTTATGCTCTATACCACATCGGGTAGGTCTAGTGTTATGCTCCATACCACATCGGGTAGGTCTAGTGTTATACTCCATACCACATCGGGTAGGTCTAGTTATACTCCATACCACATCGGGTAGGTCTAGTATTATACTCCATACCACATCGGGTAGGTCTAGTGTTATGCTCCATACCACATCGGGTAGGTCTAGTGTTATACTCCATACCACATCGGGTAGGTCTAGTGTTATACTCCATACCACATCGGGTAGGTCTAGTTATACTCCATACCACATCGGGTAGGTCTAGTATTATACTCCATACCACATCGGGTAGGTCTAGTGTTATGCTCCATACCACATCGGGTAGGTCTAGTGTTATACTCCATACCACATCGGGTAGGTCTAGTTCACAATTCTTCACTACCATTCCCGGTAGGATAACAATAACAGTCCACTACCACTCCGGGTAGGACACAACAACAGTCCGCTACCACTCCGGGTAGGACACGATAACAGTCCACTACCATTTAAGGTAGGACACAATAACAGTCTACTACCACTCCGGGTAGGACACAACAAACAGTTCACTACCACTCCGGGTAGGACACAATAACAGTCAACCACTACCTCTTCGAGTAGGGTAACAACAATAAACCACTCCCTATTCGGGTAGGGTAACAACAATCAAACTTACAACACATTACCTCTTTCACATACCTCGTTCACATCAGTGAGTATGAATTAGAGCCACTTATCCCTTACCTCGGTGAGCGTTGGAGATCAGTTTCGAGTAACTTTAAAAGTCTACTCCGCGATTTCCTCCAACCTTAGGATCTTTCCTCATTTCCACCAATAACAACAATGTTAGTCATTTATTCCAAATATCACATAAACAACTTATTTTGCATCATTTAATCATACAAAATATTCATCATCAATATTCAACCATCTAAAACATGCATAACATCTCATATTTCAATATTTCCAAAACTACTTCAATACAAGTTTCTAAATATCAAAGCATACATGTTCATCTCATATAACAACATTAAAGCACTACTCATTATCCACATCTAGCATTTCATCTCTTTCACTTTATACTCATATTCTCATTTTGGGGGTTTTTGGGGTTTTTCATGAATAACCCATAAAACTTTCCATTCATCAAATACCAACTCTAAACCAAGAGTTTACAAGATAAAAATAACATAAAACGAACCATAACTCTAAAGAATGAGTTTCCATGGTTTCTCATGTTTTGAAAATAAATCCAACATACCCAAAACAAGTTAGAGAGGAAGAAGAAGAGTTAGTAACAAGAGGTTTACCTCTTCTCAAGCTCCAAGATGAGTCCTAAGGCTCCTTGCTCTTGAAAAACTCTTCTTTCTCTCTTCTCTTCGAAGTTCTAACTCAAAAATGTGTTTAGGTTTCTGTTTTAAAGAGGTGTCGTCGGGTTGTAATCGATTACCAACATGGTGTAATCGATTACAACGTGAAAAATACGCATATCTGATGCTTTTAATACGATGTAATCGATTACCAGAAGTGTGTAATCGATTACCAGCAGAGTGTAATCGATTACCAGCAGAGTGTAATCGATTACCAGCAGAGTGTAATCGATTACCAGCAGAGTGTAATCGATTACCAGCAGAGTGTAATCGATTACCAGCAGTGTGTAATCGATTACCAGAAGTGTGTAATCGATTACACTGTGTCAGATGCACATATCTGATGCTTTTAATACGATGTAATCGATTACCAGAAGTGTGTAATCGATTACACTGTGTCAACAGCCCAAAATTGCCATTTCTCGCCCAGGCGAGACAACTCTCGCTCAAGCGAAGCTTCCAGGACTGTTACTATAATTTTAAAGATTAAAATTTGGGGTGTTACAATGTCCCCGTTGGATTTAATCCTTTAAATGGACTAGCGATCAACAAATTGTGTTATGTTTAACTGTATGTACTTGTTGAGGTGAAGAATTAAGATCTAGCTGCATTGATATGTTTATGTGTGCAAAAGGGTAAGACTTATAATGATAGTCGAGAAAAGAGGCTAGTTAAGTTACTTACCCCGCCAATGTGATGAATGCAATGGAATAGACGTTAAACTTTTGGTCTCGAATGACCGGTTCTTTTGCGGTTGGACATTGGCAACGCATGAAAGAGTGGTGGTGATCCGAAATTGTCTGCGTTGAATGTGTACCGGCAAAAGTTGTTGTTTCGTGAACGTCCGTAATTGCGGTGTATGGGTGTGGTGTAACCATAGGAGAGAAGAAGTTTTGGGTTGTGTCGAAATGAGCGTGCGAACCTTGTTTCACGACGTGGTTGCCATGAGTCGTGGATTCAAACCGCTTTCGAAAATCATTTT